CTCCAGCAGGAGACATAGCAAGCCCCTGTCTTAAAAAAAAAAAAGTCTAGATTTGCCCAGGTTCTAGTAAACAATCAGAGTACTACCCATCCCAAATTGATGAGGTCCCAATGGAAATGTCCTGGTAGTGTGGGAAGGCTGGCTAGGGTACAGCATGGTGCTGCTGAACAGCCACTTTGACTCTGTGTCTCTTTTGGCCAAGTTACACAGCAGACTTTGTGGGCTAGTCCTGCTTCTCCACTTTGTATCTGGCTGTCCTCAGGGGTATTTCTCCCTTCTGGCACTCCCAATGCTTCCCATGGTTTGAGACGAGAGATGGGTCTTTTGCCCTGAACCCAAGATGGTGGAGAAGTTCATTGTTTCCCTTGATCTCACTTTTTCCAGTGTAGAAGCCATGAGTTTGGGGGAGATTTTCCGTGTGCTTGGTGCCAGCAGGCTGTGGGGAGGGCCATTGTAGATATGGAAGTCTGATTTTCTTTCTGTCTGGTGAGATCTTTTTCATTTCTCTGTGTCTCCAGGAACTGTCTCCTACTCATATTTGAGCTGTGGGATGTTGCTGGTGATCATTTTGGTGCTATATACTTGATTTTGTTTTGTTGGGGGTGCAGGGAGAGTAGGGAACTATTAGGTTGGTGCAAAAGTAATTGCAGATTTCTCTATGGCCTGCTTCTGTGCTGCAGTTTTGGAACCAGAGATCTCAAAGTTCCTATTGTTCTGGTTACAAATTTGCGAGTCACAGCAGGAATCTTTAATTTACTTCTCTTAATATCTGATGAGGCCGGGCGCGGTGGCTCATGCCTGTAATCCCAGCACTTTGGGAGGCCGAGGCGGGTGGATCACGAGGTCAAGAGATCGAAACCATCCTGGTCAACATGGTGAAACCCCGTCTCTACTAAAAATACAAAAAAAAAAAAAAATTAGCTGGGCATGGTGGCGCGTGCCTGTAATCCCAGCTACTCAGGAGGCTGAGGCAGGAGAATTGCCTGAACCCAGGAGGCGGAGGTTGTGGTGAGCCGAGATCGTGCCATTGCACTCCAGCCTGGGTAACAAGAGCGAAACTCCATCTCAAAAAAAAAAAAAAACTGATGGAACAGGTAGTCAGAAAAAAAAAAAGTCTGTAAGACTATATAGATGGTTTGAACAACAGAGTTACTTCCCTAGCCTAATTGGCATATATACACACATACTTTTCAAATACACATGTCACAATTTCAAAATTGTATATATGCTTGGTCCTAAAGAAAATGTCAACAAATTTCAAAGGATTAAAATCATACAAAGTGTGCGGTCATAGCAGAATTAATCTAGAAATAAGATAATAGAGAATCCCATAGATGTAGGTGTTAAGAAATACCTTTCTGAATAGCCTATGAGTCAGAGAAGAAATCACAATGAAGTGAGAAAAATTAGTTGAGCCGAATAATGATGAACATGCTATATATTAACGCCAATAGAATGCAACTAAACTTGTGATTAAAGTGAAATTTAGAGGCTAAAATGTTTATTTTAGAAAAGAAGTATTGTTGACTTTTCAGCCAGCCTCAGATTGTATCTCAAGAAATTAAAGAATAAGCTGTTAAAGCCATATAAAATATTAATAGAAAGAGGGTAACAATGAAGAGCAGAAATTAATGCAGGAGAAGGCAAACACACTAAGGAGAGGTTTGTCTCTAAAGTCCTTGTGAGGTACAGCTCTTAAAAAAAAGAGAGAATGGTTTAAGTAACTGTTTTAAAGAAAGAAGGGATATCACTATGAATCTTACAGACATTTAAGTGATTAAGGGGACATTTTGAGTTACTTTATTTTAGTAATTTTGAATATTTAGATGAAATGTAGAAATTCCTAGGAAAACACAGAAGAACAGCTAGAGAACACCAGTATTACGTACTTTTTTCCAGAGAATACAAAAGAGGGTACCTATATTTTTTGCCAACTCTACAGTGCTAAATCAGTTTGAGTCCAGCATTCCTTTGGTATCAAAACCTGGCATGAATACAGCAGAGAGGAAATTACAGGTCAATCTCACTCGTAAAAGTACATGTAAAGATTTCAAACAGAGCAATATCAAACAAAAAGCTAGAGATGTGTAAAAATTGATATGTGAGGTCCAAGATTGTTTATCCTAGGAATGTAAGATTGGTTTGATACTAGAAAATCATCAGTGTAATTTACTGCATAAAAACAGAAAAGCCAGTCACCTCAAGAGATGTTGGAAAGCACTCGATAAAATGCAGTATTCAATCATGACGAAAACTCTGAGCTGTCAAGTAATAGGAGGGGTTTCCCCCAGATAAAAGGTATCAATAAAATTATTGCATGAAAGATCATTTATTTATGTATATGTTTATTTTTTGAGTCAGTGTCACTTTGTTGCCCAGGCTGGAGGGGAGTGGCGCAATCTCAGCTCTGCAACCCTCTGCTTCTTAGATTCAAGTGATTCTCCTGCCTCAGCCTCCCAAGTAGCTGGGATTACAGGCACATGCCACCATACCTAGCTAATTTTTGTATTTTTAGTAGAGACAAGGTTTTGCCATGTTGGTCAGGCTGGTCTTGAACTCCTGACCTCAAGTGATCCACCTGCCTCAGCCTCCCAAAGTGCTGGAATTATAGGCATGAGCCACCTCGCTTCACATGAAAGATTATATTTTTAATGGTTTAATTGAGAAGGCTTTCCCTCTAAAATCAGGAAATAAAGATACTTGTTATGAACACTTCTTTTGAGTGTTGTATTGTGCTTTCTAGCCAGCGTATGAAGATAAAAAGAAATACATTGTGTACAGATTGGAAAGGAAGAAATAAAGCTGTCAGTTGCAGATGACATGGTTGTGTATGTAGAGGTAAAAACCTTAATGTAAATTATTAGGAATAATAAAAGATTCTAATACTTAAAACTCTATTAATAATATAAAATAATAAATCTAATGAAACATACTGAAGACCGCTATATCGATACTCAAGACCCTCCCCAGATTGATACGTTAGCTTTTGTGCAGCCTCAAAGTCCCCAAAATTTCTTTGGTAGAAACTGATAATCAGAATGTAAAACTTGCTACATACAAAGGACTAATAAGAGCCAAAGCAGTTTTGAAGAATCAAACAGGAAGACACTCTAATGGTCTTCTAGATTTCATGTAAAGTTACAATAATTAAGACACTATAGAGTTGGCAAAAAGATAAGCATATGGATCTGTAGGAGAAAATAGAGCCACACAGACACTTGATTTGTGTACTGCAGGCAAACCTGCAGCACAGTGATAGTGCTGGATCATTTGGACAACCATATTGAAACAAATAATAAACTTGATCCCTACCTCACACCATAGGCATAAATCAATTCCAGTTGGATTGGGGATGCAAATGTGACAGGTAAAATAAGGTTTCTACAAGATAATATGAGGCAATATTTTAATGACCTTGTGATTGAGAAACATTTCTTAAACAGGGTACTAAAGAAGTAACTATAAAGGAAAAGATTGCTAATTTGAACAGAATAAAAGGGAAGAACTTATATCCATCAAGACACCATTAAGAATGAAAAGGCAATTCATAGAATAGCATAAGGTATTTGCAATACAGATAACCAACAATGATATCTAATCCAGAATATATAAAGGGCTTAGAAATCGAAGAAAAAGATTGACAACTCAGGAGAAAAATGGGCGAGAGACTTACTTCAAGCAGTTATTCACAAAAGGAGATATCTAGATAGCTAATAAAAATCAGGGAAATGCAGACAAAAACTGCAGTGACATAGCATTCATACCCACCAGAATTGCTAAAATAAAGATGGACAGTTATGTAATGTTGCATAGTATGTGGAAGTAGCACAGAATCTTGTATACTCTTGTGGAAGTATAAATTACTAGAACCAATTTGGAAAGCTACTTGGAGTTTTCTACTAAAGCTGAATATACATACATCCTGTGATATTTTCACTCTTAGGTATATGCCCAACAAAAATGAATGCTTGTTTATACCAAAAGACTTTCAGTAGAAAGTTCATAATATCACTATTTGTAATAACCCAAACTGCAAATAATCCAAATGTTCATTAATGGGAGAATAGTTAAATAAACATGATGTGTACAAAGGAATACCATAGAGCAGTGAAAATGAACAAACCACAGCTGCATGTAACAAGTGGATGGCTCTTATAAACATAATTTTGAGAATAAGAGAGCAGATACATTATGGCTGGGCACGGTGGCTCATGCCTGTAATCCCAATACTTTGAGACGACAAGCTGGATGGATCACGAAATCAAGAGTTCAAGACCAGCCTGGTCAACATGGTGAAACCCCATCTCTACTCAAAATACAAAAATTAGCCTTGTGCGGTGGCAGGCATCTGTAATCCCAGCTCCTTGGGAGGCTGAGGCAGGAGAATTGCTTGAACCCAGGTGGCAGAAGTTGCAGTGAGCTGAGATTGCACCACTGTTCTTCAGCCTGGGCGACAGAGTGAGACTCTGCCTCAAAAAAGAAAAAAAAAAAAAAAAAAAAAGAGCAGATACATTATAATATTGTGTAACTCCATTTATATAAAATCCAAAAACCTACAAAAGTAGTTTATGATGTTAGAAGTGTGGCTAGTACCTTTTGGGAGGTGGGAGAAATTAAGAAGAGGGGCTTCTGGTGTTACTCTTTGATTTCTTAATCAGGGTATTGACTTCATGTGAACATTCACTGAGATACACTCTTAAGTTGTGTATACTTTTTGTAGTTGTGATACTTCAGCAAACAAGTTAAAATATATTTAATGAGGGAAATAGATTTTCTTTTGTTTTGCCGATTTACTGTTTTATGGCAGACCTTTGTTTCAGCAGAAAGCTTAACTTCCATCAGACTGATATATCTGTAGATTGTACCCTAGATAATTGTTCAATGTGTTTGCCAAGGTCTGTTAGGAACACATTTGAATTAATATACACAATCAGGATTTGTTGACATCCTTGATTTTACCAGTTATTGGTTTGACTTTATAAAGAATTTTTGTCTTCTAGGTCGTGATAAATTGTGCCATTCCTAAAGGGTTGAAGTACAATCAAGCTACACAGACCTTCCACCAGTGGCGAGATGCTAGACAGGTGTATGGTCTCAACTTTGGCAGCAAAGAGGATGCCAATGTCTTCGCAAGTGCCATGATGCATGCCTTAGAAGTGTTAAATTCACAGGAAACAGGTAAGGTGCCCATGGTTTACTTGTATTTTCTTTCTTCTTTTTTTTCCAGAGCCAAAGCAAAACTGAAGGTTTACTTGTATTCTTGAACTGAAGTGCCACATATATGTTAAAGCAAATCTTTTTGTTAACTTTTTGATCATGTATATATTTGAAGTAGTTCTTGATCTTTTACTTTCTATAGAAATGTCAACTTTTTATTGATGATAAATGTATAATCTAGAAAGATAATCCTGTGAGTTTACTTCTCTTTAATTCTGTAACCCTTTTATTTGAAGTATTTAGGTGTGTTTCATCCTGCTTTAGAAACTCTTTTGTTGCTCAGAGAAGATGCAGTGGATAGGAATTATGCTTATTTATCATCTTAGTGTAAAGAAGCACACGTTTTCTGAAAGATGTTTTTGAAACCATTACTGAGCCCATGAATTTGAAGTAGGACTAGGTCACCTTCCTAGTAGATGAAAATGTGATTCTTGGTTTTTTAAAGATTTTAGGAGTGCCCTCAGGTGGTACAAGTCATGAATTGCATCTTCTCTGATAGTGCATATTGGTTAGAAAGAGAATGTAGAAATCACTTTTAAAAAGACTCCAATTTTAAAAAACCGTATGTATCAAGGATGAGCTCAGTTTTGTCTTGGTTTGAAAAATAGAAAAATATACCAGTGTGTCGTTATTTCTTTGAAGAGATATATTTTATAATCAGAAAATAACAGGTATAAAAACACAACTATGTTTACTCTTGCCTATATTGTACATTTAGTAATCATTTTAATGATATAAATGTGCTATAAATAAAATTTATATATTTTAAGAGGAAGGAGTTACAGACAGATGAAAGTTTGACACTTTGTTGAAAGTATAGACTATCAAAACCTGTTAAAAATATATGCTTTGCCTTATACTAAAAAGGATTGAGGCATCTAGCTCATGTGTTAGTCTGTTCCAAATATTAATTTCAGAGCAAGAAGACATTTTGGGATCTTGCAGAAACTTTAAGTTGTTATGCCTTTAGATGTTTTATGTCAGATCTTCTTTTGAGGAAATTAATATCAATACATAACTTACACAGAATTTGCATATTTAATCTAGTTGAAAATAAACCACAAGAACTTGTCTTGGTTTATCTCTAAGTCCAGAAAATAGCATGGAAAAGCCTGTACAGTCTTGTTTGTAGGTCATTTTTCTAAGTCTCTATACTTCTTTTGCAGGTATCAGTGTTTTATTAGCATGCTATCGTAGATAAAGAATTGCTGTCATTTACCATAGTTTTACCATAGGGAAGGAGCTAGAATTGTGATTCTTAATATTTTGTTGAATAGGTCAGTTACATGATAAATAATTAAGGGACCAAAGTTTGGAGAGTAGATGTATGTGTATGACATTTGGCTTCATACATCTGTTTTAGAACAAACTAGTATTATTTTTATTTCTAAACTTTCAAAAGAGTATCCATTGATATTAGGAACTAAATGTTACTGATATTAGGAACTTAGGAGCTAAATGTTCCTTTTCTAAAAGTAGTTAAAATTATTCATCTTGTCATTGACTTTTTATTTTTAGCCAAATGGAAAGGATTGCTTCTATCAATGAGTAGTTATATAGTTTGATTTCAAAATGCAAATGCTAATTAATGTTTTTTCTGATATATATATAAATTGTTTTTTTCTTTTGTTTGAGAAGAAGTCTATCTCTGTTGCCCAGGCTGGAGTGTAGTGGTGCAGCCTCTGTTCACTGCAACCTCCACCTCCCAAGTTCAAGTGATTCTCCCTCCTCAGCCTCCCAAGTAGCTGGGATTGCAGGTGCTCACCACCATGCTTGGCTAAATTTTGTATTTTTAGTGGAGATGGTGTTTCACCATATTGGCCAGACTGGTCTCAAACTTCTGACCTCAAGTGATCTGCCCACCTTGGCCTTCCAAAGTGCTGGGATTACAGATGTGAGCCACTGTGCCCAGCCTTTTTTCTGATCTTTCATCTTTTGAAATTAATGAGTCTTAATGTGGAGAGACTCAATTACATTCTCTATTACAAAGTAATAAGCATTAAGAAACAATGCTCCACATTATAGAAAGTTTGGTAAATAGGCAAATCATTTCACAAGCTACACAAGCATTTTAGTATGGGAAAAAAATAGGATTCTTGTTAGATGATTTTGGTATTTTTTCTCTTCTCAGTCACTATCTCAACCACTCATACTAGGGGCTGAGGAAAGAGAGGTAATGGTGGAAGAAATGGGTCCATCACAGCTGCCTCCTGGTACTGTGGATCAGGTCACTGGCAGGGAAGCTTTTAGTTCTGTAGTTTTTTCATCATGGAAAACAAAGTGTATAGAATGGCAAAGTTCTAAATAGCCTGATTTGTTTAGAAAATGACTGTTTTCTTAAATTATTGTAGTTAAGTACTATTTCTTATTTTTGATGACCTTAATTAGTATGGAAGTAGGAGTGTGGGAGAGAGTAAGATGTTAAGAATCAGGAGTGTTCTTGGGAATAGTTATAATTTCTTATGTAGATTTCCCAGTGTAGAAAAAGTATGTACTCTACCTCAACGTTATATGGGCCACCTCCCCTTTATCTAAACAAACATACCCAATAGTGTTGCCTCTCAGCTTGATCATACCCTGCCAAAAATCTTTGGTTTGGGTTCACAGCCAGTTTGCTGCTGAAATCATCTACTGTCTTTCTTCCAAAACTAAGTTAAAAAGCTTAACTTGCGTGTTTTTTCCCTTTACAAACTATAGCCTGATAAAACTGATGAGAAGCAGAACAAACTTATTGATAAAGCAACTACAAATATTAGTCTTGCCTGTTTCTTAATGTTTTACCGCTTTTTAAAACATTTTTTCATATTAAACATTTCTGTTTGTATTTTTATTTATTAGGTGCTGATATCAATATTATCCACTGTTGTAATTGGCTGATCTTTCTCAGTGACTTCCAGACTTCTAAAAGTTATGAACATTTTTGTGCAAATGAGATGTTTGGTTAGTTCAGTGTATAAAATGGACAAAAAAATATGGAGCTTCTCTGATTAATGTGGGGTTCAGGATGCACAACCACTGAGACACCTCCATGGTTCTCTAGAGCCGAATTCGAAAATTACTAGCTCACATTTTGTGCCAAAACCAATAATCATATAATTTTCCTTTCTTCTTCCATGTCCCCTAAATCCTCAAATATTTAAATTTACAAAAAACAAGTTTTCGGGGGGACTAGTCGTACCAACCTTTACAAGGTGCTCTGTGTGTTTATGTAATATTTCCATTTCTTTAATGAAAATGGTGGGTGGCAGAAATGTTTTCCTTTATTTTGTTTTTAACTTGGTATGCAATTATCTAATATACTGGAAAGTACAGAAGGTGCTAAATACAGTGAGTTATATTTGGAAGTTAAAAAAACACAAATCACATGTTCTAACATTTTTGAAAAAGAGCTGAATTAGTGCTCTTCCTTTTATACCAAATGCTACAGTGTATTTTTTCCTTTCTCCATGGAAATGGATTCAGTTTTAAATGCATGTATTACCTAAAGTGATATTTTTGATTTCTCTATTATTTATCCAGTACATTAATAGATTTTTGTAGGTAATAGTTACGGATTATATAAACTACAAAGTTAATTTTTGCAATGATTGGTGGAGGCAAAATTGCTCAACTGTTTTATTTTGTAAAAGGTTTAAATCATTTAAAAATAGGAAATAATTGTTTAAATCCATTAAAATATAAGAAAATAACCAGTAAGATTATCCCACTGCTTTTGTTCTACTTAAGATGAAGCATGCCTTTTTAAAAAGAACACCCCAAAATAAATATTTTACCATTATCTAAAAGACTACTTTTGCTGGATTTTATTTTTTAATCTATTTAACATGAGAACATAGTCAAAAGTCATTCCTTCCTTCGGGTTGAAATTTTCTTCAGGTTTTATAATAAGTACTGAGATTCCGTTTTTTATTATAATTTGGCCTGGCATACCTTCCAATATGAGCATTTGTATGAGTTTTATTACAGCATTAAAAAATCTATGATATGTTTGGAATGAATTGGATTTTAAAAATCTCAGTTTCTAGAAATACTTTATAGTGACAGTTTTGTTTTTTAGTCTTCCAGATTGCTGATATTAATGCAAACAATATTAAGCTTATATCACAAAAATATTTTCAAATAAACATATTTTTTACAAACCGTGTTAGGCACTGGGAAAATACAAACATGATAAATAAAGCCTGTCCCTTGCCTGATTTCACAGTTGGGCTAGAACTGCTAGAAACAAGGCCAGTAAAATTAGGATACAGCTTGTGAATGTAGTGTGAAGAAAGGCCTTCAGAATAATTCCCAAAGAAAATTCTAGGGTCAGGGAAAGCTTTGAAGAGAAGATGATGTTTCAGCTATGTTTTGAAGAGTGGGGAGGGCTCATCAGTGGTAGAACGTTCTAGATAGGTTTGGAAGCATGAGAGCGTGGAGCAATTGGGAAATAACAAACATGGCATGATGTGGCTTGGACATGAGAATTTATGTGGTGGGGGTCAGGGGCAGGGCATCGCAAGAGAAGGTTGGGAAGGGCCTGGTGCTGAGTATGCATTTTATCATGTAGGTGATGAAGAGTCATTGAAGGAAGCTAAATAAAGGATTGACATGATCAGGTTGGTGCTTTAGAACAAGTGTGATAGATTGGTAAGCATGCAAGTTACAAGCATGCATATCAATTCAGGATACTGTTATGATAATACTGGTGAGAAGGATGAAGTCTGAACTGACAAAGCAGAGAGAGGAGAGGAACAGAATGAAGAGGAGGTGACCAGCTTTCATTTAGTGCTGGCTCTACCTGCCACTGCAGTGTTCTAACTTTCTTCCTTTGTCCTCAAATAGAAATTAAATATTTCTGAGGCAGGAATAATGATTTATTTATTGATCACCTTCCTGTGTGCCCGGTCTTAATCTGGCTTATACATAACCAGTCATCTTTATAACAACTCTACAATGTTGGTGGTATTATCCTTGTTTTA